TGGTTCATGTGGAGTTGCTTGTCACTCATGACACCTAAATCCATTTCAGAGTTACTGCTTTCCAGGTTACAGTCCCCCATTGTCTTCGGCACACACAAAGACAGAGACACTATAGGTGATGTGGTTTAATTAGGCAACAACATTATTAATTTAACCCATCTGGGAACTATACAGTTTAATCTGTACTACGCAGGTCATGATTTCTTTCTTAATCATTTCCCTCTCATGAAGAGCTATTGTCAGTCCCTCCCCCTCCCCGCCCGCCACCATAGCATGCCCTGTTCCATTACTGGCAATCTACTTCCTGCGCTTCATTTTGAAGGTTAAGGGATTGGGGGAAAGGGTCTGTCTTCTCATGTTAATGGACATTAGGAGTCGCACCTCCATTCCTCACCATCTTTAGGAGATAGAATTATAGAATACTAAAATTGGAAGAGATCTCAAGAGATCATCAAGTCCAGTCCCCTGCAGGACCAAGCAGTAAGCACCATTTATCATCCCTGGCAGATGTCTGCCTAACCTGATCTTAAATATTTCCAATAATGGAAATTCTTCAACCTCTCCAGGCAATTTATTCCAGAGCTTAACCACCCTGACAGGAAGTTTTTCTTAATGTCCAACCCAATCCTCCCTGGCTGCAATTTAAGCCTATTGTTTCTTGTCCTGTCATCAGAGGTCAAGGAGAATAAATTTTTCTCCCTCCTCTTTATAACACCCTTTTAGATACTGGAAAGCTGTTATTATGTCATACCTCAGTCTTCTCTTTTCAATACTAAACAAACCCACTTCTTTCAGTCGTTCCTCATAGGTCACGTTTTCTAGACCTTTAATCATTTTTGTTGCTCTTCTTTGGATCCTCTCTAATTTCTCCACATCTTTCCTGAAATGTGGTACCCAGAACTGGACACAATACTCCAGTTGAGGCCTAATCAGAGTAGAGTGGAAGAATTGCTTCTCATGTCCTGTTTACAACACTCCTGTTAATGCATCCCAGAATCACATTTTGTTTTTCTTTTTCTTTTTTAATTTTAATTTTTTTTTTTGCAGTGGTGTCACACTGTTGTCTTGTATTTAGCTTGTGGTTCACTATGATCCCATTTCATACCCAGTGGTTTTGGGAAGGTTTATACTCAACACAGCATAGCCAGGCTTCCTCTGTCACTAGCAGTGCTACCGCATCTACACTGCTATTTATACTTGTGCTACCTCCATAAAAGCTAGCAAGAGTATGTGTACACAAGTTGGGAAATAACACCTCCTAGTTTGTAGTTAACAGTTCCCTCCCTTACACTAGTCAAAATATATTATTAAGTCCCAAGTCAGAAAAGTGTACCCTATTGTCTCTGAAAAATTCAAGCAACATATATGATTTGGGGGGGGAGGGTGGCTATTTGCCAATACTTTCCATTCCAGATACTTCACACATCTTCTGGTCTGGTCAACCTTATTAGCCTTGTGGCTTATTGCTGTGTACTACACTGCAGCGTTTTAGACCAGTTTACAGTCATTTCAATGGAAAAGGCCCTCAATCCTGCCCTAAATTTCTGCCCTGATACAATGAGCTCTTAAAGGATAATATAAGTGCAAAAGTAACACTATTTATAAGACTCTTAAAAAGAACGATAACCACTTTAAAGTAGAATTATAACTCATAAATCATGAGTCTAGAACAGCTTTGTACTTGTGTTCATTTAGCATTTTGCAGTCTCATGGATTTAATATCTGCTCTTAGCATAATTAAATTCCTATAGTGCATGCATGGTTACCACTTACCATTGTGCTGTTGTTAAAACAGAATTAGAATGTGCTGTTCAAGAACTCAGTCCTATGCTCCTACTTTAGCTAAACTTTAGATCAGGCCTCAAATGAGGAACTGTTAATTTGGGGGGTTAAGATGATTAAAACAGACAAATTATATTCTTTAGCACCTGTTGTGTTTATTTTAATGTTTCTTGCTTACCCATCAGGTATATGCAAAAAGTACAAGAAAAGTATGGAAAATTTTCAGGGATGTAACCAAAATAAAATGGCTAATGTTTCTTCCTCTTTATGAGGGAAGTCCCAGATTGAAATCAGAAGTTTTGCAATTAATTTCAGTGGGGCCAGGATTGACTATCTTACTTGAAGATTTAGGAAAGAGTCTGTGCCAAAAAATAGTCATAGCACAATTTTAAAAACCTTGTGCTATAATAATAATAATATAATATAATATGTTTGTTGAATTCAGTAGCTTCTGGTCGAAGATTACAACATAAGATATTTCCCAGACTGTGCATAATGAGATAGAGGAGTAATTGTAAAGGTTATTGTATTTTCTAGCCAGTTTACTAAAAGAATCTTATTTCAGCATATTTCTATTTCTACTGTGGTGCAGTTATTGAAATTTTTTTATCTGGATGGTGAAGTGTAAATACTGTAGAGATGGAAAACTGTGGCAGAATTGTTTTTTGAATTTCAAAAATATTATGTGCAAGAGCAGTACTTGTTCTAACAACCTGTTTTTTTCCTTTTGTCTCAGCTTTCTAAGAAGTATGAAGTTCATGTTTGTGGAGAAGGTGGGGAATATGAAACATTCACTTTGGACTGTCCTCTGTTTAAGAAGAAAATAGTTGTGTAAGGAACTGTTTCTTTCCCTTCCTTAAATTTAAGTGATGGGAACATATTAACATTTAGCTCGAGGCAACATTTGTTGGCAGGAGTAGAACATGTCCTCTAAGTTCACAAACAGTCACTTTGTTTAACACTGGCAAAGTCCTCTGAAAACTTAAATCAATGCCTGACAAGACGAGGCCTTCATAGAAGGCTATAAACTTTTTAGACATTTGCACTTTCGTTTACTTGCTGATTATGGCCTGCAGTAAAACTGGTACCTACACACTGACACTTTTATCCTTTCATGAAGTGCGAATTGCCTGTAATATTTATCTTTCATTACAGCTACATTTGATAAACTGCCACATCAGTAGCCTGTGGGTTCCATTAACTCTGTGTCTTTTTTTCTCCTTTTTTCAACTTTAGTGACTTAGAATGATAATGCTAAACATTTTCCATCAGTCACTAAGTGCACATTTTTGAATGTAAACTTTGCTTGAATCCATCCAGTTTACCATGAGTACCTTATTTCTTTGCCAAAAATTGTTAAAATCTCTTTAGAGGGGTATGGGAAATTTCTATCTTGATTCAAGTTTCTCCACGTACTATAGCTTAGACTGCATATTTTTAGAGTGATGTTTTGACTGTTCCTATTCTTATCCAAGTAAGCATTATCTAATAATGGAATGTCACTCACATGCCATTTCAGATATATCAACTCATGGAAGGTCAGCATTATGGCACATACAACATTAAGTGTTGTATTCAACAGGCTCATTCTTTTATATCTCCTAGCAATAATTTGCAATTAAGGGTGGATAAAATTCACCGAATAACCACAAGAATTGGAGAAAATTCACCGAATAACCACAAGAATTTTTGAAGGATTAGAAAGTGTGCTTATAGTGTTAGACTCAAGGAGCGCCATCTATTTAGCTTAACAAAGAGAATTCTAAGGAGTGACTTGCTTATAGTCTGTAAGTACCTACATGGGGAAAATATTTTATAATGGTTTCTTCTCTCAAGTAGACACAGTTATAACAAGATCTAATGGCTGAAAGTTGAAGCTAGACAAATTCAGATGGGCAACAAGGAATCAGAAATGTTAACAATGAGAATTAACTATTAGAACAATTTATGGCAGCCACAGTGCCTTCTCTATGATTGGGAATTTTAAGATCAGGATTGGGTTGATTCTTTAAAAGATATGCTCTAGGAAATTTTGAGGTGGGCGATTCTTTGGCCTATGTTATATAGAAAGTCAGACTAGATGATCATAACAGTCCATTCTGGCTTTAGTATCTATGAACCTGTGAATCTTGTATTGCTTTCTTAGAGGACCGTGGCTATTTTTATAGGTACTCTAGAGACTGTTAGGCTATTCCACTCACTATGGTGGTGTAGGTTCTAGGGGATTAGGTTGCCATAGTTGAAATATATTTCACCTCAGTAAAATTTTGAAGCTTAGATGAAATTATACAAGTACCTCTAAAAATCCTGCATAATAAACTACTCCAATTCTTCACCCTAAAAAAAGCTTTGGCTGCATGAAATGTAGATCCCAGCAGAAACCAATGAAGATGAGTCTTCCCTACAAAATATGGAAAGAGAAAATCTAGCTCTTATATTATATTAAATAGACTCCTGAGTAGTATTTTTCCTGGATGATGTTTTTATCGTACTTGTAATGTCTTACGAAATGGATTTCCTCAAGTTTCTCTCTGAATAGAAAAGCAAGGTGTTAGATTTGCGGATAAGAGAAAATTTCCAATAGTGATGCTTGGTTTATTACAGAATGATGTCAGTCTAGTCAAGGCTCTGTGACTCGTCTTCACTTATGACAATAGTTTTATCCCTACCCTTCCCCCACTAAACTCCTTTTGAAAATAACTCTTACTGTTGAAATTTCTCATGTCAACTCCCATGTCAGAAGAGAATTTAAGAGGAAACTTGCTGAGTTAATTGAATTAGACATTTGAAGAGGTGCAAGTTTAAAGATACATAAGATTTAGGAGAGAAAGGAGGAACGTTAGTAAAAGTCATGATTCTGTCTGTCTGTCTGTCTGTCTGAGATAGATAGATAGATAGATAGAATAGATAGATAGATAGATAGATAAAATCATGAGCTTTTGAGGGTAAAATCCACTTCTTCAGATGAGACATCTATCAAGAATATCATCAGGAGATCCTGTTAAATTCTTACAGTCTACCTCATATTGTATGTTTTTATTCATAGTGAGCATCAGTTTCCAAAGACAATTTTTCATCCATTTCCAGTTCCTACTTTGCATGAGAACAGAATTCACAATGAATGACTAAGATAATTATTTGTTTTCATACAGGAATATTTTATTGCCTTCATTTAATCACTATGTATTACCAAGCCACATATTATCATTTCACAGTGATCCTGATTAAAAAATGCATTATCATTCATTCACTAAAGCTATCAAGTGGCATTATATTATCATTTGAGTTTTTAATGATCAATTCTAAACAATGTTTATAAAGGAAAATGATACTGAATTCTTTAAGAAAGTCATTAAACTCTGACCAAATACTTGAAAGAGTTTCCTGTTTGGTTGGATCTGAATCCCTGCACCTATGAATTTGTATTTAGTACTGTGTCTTAGGGCTTGTCTCCATGAACAACTAGATTACTTTGAGCTAGTTTCATTTCAAAGAGAACTATATCAAAGCATACTCACAAATTGTTAATGGGCATCATCAGCACTTCGATAGTTGGACCAAGGCAGGCTAGTGTGAAGTACTGTTGCAGCATGAAGTGAACTAATTATTCATGTAGGAAAGCCCCTTATTTAAAGATTGCTTCACCTCTGAAAAATCATTATGTAAAAATGGAATTTTGTGGTCCATGTATATTCTCTCTCAGAAACATAATATAAAATATCTTCAATTATCAATTAATATGAGGTTTTCAAACTTCCAGCCCTACAAATCGAGCCTGGGTTCTGAATGACAAGGTGGATTATTTTCCAATGTAGCAATACCAGTAGGACTTAGAGTTAGTAATTCTGTTGATGTCTTAACACATATATCACCCCTATCTCTCACAATGTTGATATCGATTTTTTCAGAGCCAGGTATATTTTTTGAAGTATTGGTAGTAAAAATGTACTTTAGTTCGTGAAGTAGAAAATGAAAGTCTGAATGTGGAGCAAAGTAGGCGTCTTCTATAAAAAGATACCTTTTTGCAGTCACTTTTTGCCCATTACCATTCTTCAGTGTTTTCCAACTATATGAGACAAACGTCATATCAAAATCGTGAACCTTTGGGAACAGAGCAGCTGTAAAATTCACCAGTGAATTTTCCAATTAAATCTGCTTGCTCCTGGTAGTGCTACCTGTACTGAATGTTGGCCTGATAACAGCAAGGTCACCTTTTAGAAATTGATACAGTTATGCTGATTTAGACCAGCTGAAGATCTGAGCCAAACAGTTCTAGGGATTATTTGCAAAAAGAACACTTGTTAGTTGTGTTATTACTATAAGCACTGGTTTCTCCAGCTGATGCCTATGTCCTCCCTTTAATTGTAACTTAATTGTATCTTTTGACCATTGGATATCTTTTACTTACTCTATAAATAAATTACATCTTGAAGAGTTTTAGCATACAAAGTAGACTATCTGTATTTACACTTCCTCAGTGAAAATGCCAAGACTAGTTACAATATAACAATTCCAGATGAACAATCTGTGGTCCAGTAGCTTCACTGAGTACAAAAATATCCTTATAGTTTTGTATGCATTCTCTTACACTTTCTGAGATTTATTTTGTATTTCATCTTTTGATATTGTATTTTTCCTTAGCTATCTTAATTACATTGCTAAATTATTGCAAGGGATGCAGTACATATTGCCTCTTATGATTTGGGGGTTGACAGATTATGACTGTGAAAATGAAGACTAAATATTTGAGTCATCATATCTGAAGTTTACACAATTCCCATTTGTGCATTTAGCATCAGGAAATTGTGTCTTAGTAATTCTTCAACATAAGATGTAATTCAGTTAAATAGAACACTCAGATATCTCAACGGTACAAATATTATAGTGCTAATTTTGTAAAAATTTATTCCCGGAGAATGATTCAATGGTTAATGAAGTCATCCCAAGATTTAAAATGCTGATGAAGTTAAAAACTCAGTGGTTCTCTTGACTAACGAAGGATTGACTTGCTGTTGAATCATTGGAACTCAGTCATCGTGTCATTTATACTCATATACATCGAGATTGATTTCCATTGACACTTACTCCAGGTTACACTGCTTTGAAAGTTTAAACATAGATTGCACATGTATGGACATAGATTGCATTTATGGTAAATACATTTTATAGTTGAAAAGGATGATGAAGCTAAAACCCCATTGTTTAATGTTTTCTGAATTTATGACAACAAAATAAAATGCAAATTACTGGAGTATGCTGAGATTTCTTTATATTAAAAGAAAATGTATGACAAAAAAGTTTCTCTTAATCAGTTTTAAACAAAATAGTAACAAAATTCTTGAGAAGCAGTTGTTAAACCATGTTAGGAACAATGGTCATACCCTGTCCATGAAACCCTGCATTGAAATAAAGTGTTTATGATTCTATATTTTAGGGATTCATCCAAAGTAGTTGTCCATTCAGCTGATGCATTTGCACCTGTGGCTTACCTTCGCTTTTTACAATTACACTTGGAGGATAAGGCAAGTACACCTTTCTAAATCTTTTGTTCTTTTTTAATAGACGGTGAAGAAATATAGACTGCTTCCTTTTTGTGTTGCTTTTCACAATTTAGATTTCATCCAAATGTTTCTATTCCTCTGTAGTAAAACCTGGTTTTCAGGATTTGCTATCAAAGATCCAACACAGATTCTCATCTGTGTCAAATGAATGAATGGAATTTGTCTAACATTTTTCATCATGAAATCTCCAGGCAGTTAGCAGACACTGTTCAGCCAAGCACATGTGCAACCATTGAAGCGCAGCTACCGACACTGTAGAATACAACTGATATTTCTGTATCAGCAAATCCTATAAACAGCATTGAGTTGCTGTCAGGTTAACTTTCTTGCTATTTTTGGTGAAAAGTGGATGTTGTAGAGACCTGTTGATCCCAATAGACGAATTGCATCTACCAGACCTTCTTTTCACATTAGGTAGACAACCCAAGCTAGTAATAATTCTAAGTGTGAGAAGTGAAGCATCAATCCCCACATAATCTTATTCCAGTCAATTAACCAAAATAAGTATATTACAGAAGAGATGCTATCATATTAGGAGAGAGATATCCAGCCGAACTGGATAGAGAGCTTAATAAATATTAGATTTCAGTTTGTTTTTAACTTCTAATTCCAGGAGAATGTGCATTATAGGAGTAAGGGCCGTCGTAATGGTACCGTACTTTAGTGAATATAACCTCCCCCCCTCCGGGCTATCCTCGTCCGCGTGTAATACAGGGTTTTTTTACTGAAAGTACAGGAAGACAAGACTGACTCTTACTTGAGAAAAGCAGCATATTTTAATTTAATAATAGAGGCAGTTACATTAAAATTCATTAAAATACATTAAAATTCATTAGTCTACTGTGCAACTAGTAAAAGAATAAAAACAATTAAAAAAAAAGCCGTCTTCGAATTCTCATTCACTCTGATCTCTAGAATCAGTATCAGCAGCAATCCTCCTCAGCATCTGAGTTCTCAAAACCATCAAAACTCTTGTCAAAGTTACTGTCTTTAAAAACATCCATAAAATCCATAGCCAAGGCTAGGTCAACCTTGATGACAGTTGAGGTCTGTGGTGCAGAATCAGAATCGCTGTCGTCCTCGGAATCAGAGTTTGAAGAGTCAATGTTGGGAAGAATTTCACATTTGCGGAACCCTTTGCGAATAGTAGCCGATTTTACTCTGTCCCAAGCAGCCAAAATGTGTGTTCCCCATTTCTCATCTAATTGTCCCATTCCTCTCTGATGAAACACTTGAATGGGTGGTTCACAGTCACATCAAGTGGCTGCAACTTGCCGGTCAGCTTACCTGGAATTATGGCGATATGTGCACCCACGGAGTTTAAAAGTTTCTGGACTGAAGTTTCTTTGTGGGCGGCCAAGAAATCTAAAAGTAGCAGAGATTTAGGAATTTAAAAAAAAAACTTTTCATCCTCGAAAGCAGCTGTCTGTCCACATCTTCATTACATCAGTATTCATCCAGCCCTTTCTGTTACAAACACCACAAACGCCAGCCGGCAGTTTCTCTCTAGGCATCGTTACCCTCTTAAAAATCACCATAGGTTTTAATTTATCACCATTTGCTGAGCATGCCAACACTACAGAAAAACAGGTGCACTATGACCGGTAGTTGCCACACATACTGTTTTCGTTTCAGTTTCTGCAACAGACCACATAGCAGGAATATCAAATGACATGGGCACCTCATCCATGTTAAAAATGTTGCTTGGTTTCAAGCCCAGCTGGTGAATTTCTTTATGTACAAAAGTTTTAAAATCATCCATTTTCTTTTCCCATTCGTCTGGAAGCCATTGGCCAGCAGATGTCCATGCACGAACTGACAAATTGTTTCTCCGCATAAATTTGTACACCCTATTTCCCGAGCCCCCCTGAAAATCATAGATTTTCTGTTCCATGGCCATGAGTTGAGCCTTGAGTTGTATGGCTACCGTTGACACTGCATGATTGCTCTCTCTCTGTGTACGAACCCACTTCAACAAGTTTTCTTCCAGGTTTGGCCACTTAACTTTCTGTCCGCATAGCACTCTTTTCTCGGGTGTAATTTTTCAAGCTCTGTTTCTTCCTTTCTCCACTCCTGAACAGACTTTTCCTTCACAGAGTATTTTCTCCCTGTGGCTCTGTTTCCATTGTCCTTTGCAAATGCCACTACATGTGATTTAAAATCGGCTGTGTAGGACTTGTGCTTAGGCATGTTTAAAAGGTTTAAAAAGTTTAAAATACAAGTTAAAACCACTGAAGGAATAAATGAATGGAAAAGCAGTGTGGTTAAAAGGGGTTATATACCAGCAAAAAGCGTTATAGCCTACTTAGTGCTTGGCGTTATCGGCTGCAGCTCATTAACACTTGATTACAGGTGCTTTGGATTAACATTACTCATGTTTCATCTCTTGTGGGTTATACAAGTGCGTGGGATATACAAGACTTTTTTTACTCAATCAGGGAAAACCGCGGATTATACACAGGTGTGGGTAATACTCGTGTGCGGGTTATATGCGCTAATTTATGGTAATGATAGAGATGTATCTGTGCTAACAGATTCATGTAGAATATTACATGACTGCAGCATTGTTAATGAGGTTGAAAGACTACATTGTTTTCTTCCTTTTTGTGAGTACATTTTATCATTCCATTTCTCTTGATTATTATACACATACAATGAATCTTTTTTCCTTCTGCATGTTTGTAAACGCTAACATTTCATTTACAGACTCCTATACCCTCAGAGTATTCTTAAATTTGGTTGTGCAGTATTTCTGAATGATAGAGAACATATTGACATGTTTCTGCAGCATGATGAGACTTTTGTAAAGGGCGGCCAATAAACATCAGAGTAGAACCTTTTTTACCAACTTTATTTCACAACATTGAACTCACGAACACTTACTAAATAATGCTAAATAATTATATAATAATAGATTTATACAAGATTTTCTTGATGGGTTTTGTGTCAGGTATGAAAGTATTTCTTTTTTTAAGATGTGCCTAGAAGACTGTTTTGCAGAGGGAGAATTCCAGTTGATATTTTTGCTGTGCTTGAAACCTTTCTGGTATTCCTTGAGGGCGAATAGAGGGATTTCTGGTATTACAGCTGATTGTAGTTTACTTTTCTATTTATTTTTACAATCTGAAAATCTGTAAAACAACTTCATATACAGGGATCACTACTGAATGCATCAGTATTTGTTTTTCATCTGGTGACTTTTGAACATTCCAAGTATGCATAGGGTATCAATAATCTTTATTTAGGAGAAATAGTTTGTATATTTTTATCAATAAGCAATACTGTTTCCATTTTTGCATTCTGACTCTCAAAGGGGTAAAATGTGCCCCTGTTTTCTTCCCAAATGACCTCATTCCTAGCTTTGCAACTATGGTGAGTACTCCCTGTTTCATCCCATCCATTTCTTCTTTGAGATTTTTTAAATATAAAATCTTAAAATATTTGTATCAGAGACTTTGTGAAAATGATGTCAACCAGCTATGTGAAGTGAAACCAAATAAGCTAAATAATAGAAAACTCTGGTGGTGGGGGAGTGGTGGAAATATATTCATATTTCTTTGGGGGCACTGACTTTATTGCTCATGGCAAACTTGATGCTAAAACGCATCATACATCACTATAGTGTGACAGGTTAGGGAAAATGAAAAACACAAAGCTTTACATAAATCAGGCAAAAAATCATATTAAAATGCATTACATTTTATATAAGAATCAAGATTTTACTTTTATCTATTCAGAGCTCTTTTCCCCTTCTTATGTAGATGTTTCAGATTTTGTTAAAACCTCACAGTTTCAAGCAGTTTATAGCAAATCATATTTCAAAGTTGTTGTAGACAAAGCTGTCACATTCTTAAAAAGCTAGGGTTTATAGAAACATGCCTGGATTTTGGTAAACACCAACATATTCTAGAGTTGGTTTCCTGAGAAAAGGTATTAGAATTTTTTGGCTGAGATTAATTTTTTTTTATGTTATGGTATATTACAGTGGTCCCCAACCTTTAGAGGCTCCGGGCGCCCAGGAGGTGGGGCCACTCATGCGCCGGGCGCCCGGGAGGTGGGACCACTCACGTGCCTGGGACCGGCCTTAGAATTTTTTGGCTGAGATTAATTTTTTTTTATGTTATGGTATATTACAGTGGTCCCCAACCTTTAGAGGCTCCGGGCGCCCAGGAGGTGGGGCCACTCATGTGCTGGGCGCCCGGGAGGTGGGGGCCACTCACGCGCCGGGTGCCCAGGGGCGGGGCCGCACATCCGGGGGCATGCCAGGGGACTGGGATGCCCTTGCACCCGGCGTCGGTGCGTGCCCTAGGGCCGGGACTGGAGCC